CAGAGTGTTGTGGAGACAATTGCACATGCACTTTTGTTATTGCAATAAAGCAAAGAAAAAACGCGCAAAAATTCTTCTCGGCAGCGATTACCACGGGTGGAAATGCGCAAACAGCTGTGTCGCAGAAACTGAGTTCCTTGTCGCGATCGTTTATATTTTTGTTGCACGCGCAAAGTTTGCGATGGTAGATAGCTGTCTCGCTTTTGCTAATGGAAATGTAGGGAATGAAATCAAATTTTCAGCACAACAGGGAAAAAGTCTACACAAATGTATATTGGCTGTGGTTGAAATCAAAACAGGGTTACATTTGGCAATACAAATAAATTAAAAAAAATTGCCTTATACTACGTTTACATACAAATAAATTATATTCAAGCTTAACTCCATGATCTGTAATTAAAATAAGTAGATTAGCCACACAAAATTCATCGTTAATCCGTAGTTATAAAATATTCTCAGATTACCCCGACATCTTTTCGGTGTCCAGCTTAGTTTAATCGGTAATTTTTGCGAAGAGAAATGACAAAAGTGCAACTGGACTAAAACGGACGCTAGCTAGGAAAAGAGGTTAATTTACAAGATATTCAAGTAATTCAAGAGTCACAGAGAATCTAAACTTCTGCTTGAGCTGTGAGGAAAACAAGCACCACAATCAGTCTAGCTAGTAATCCGAGATTTGAGTGAGTAAACGAGGTTACCAACAAACGAGCTTAGAATGAGATTATATTTATATGCATGCTTATCCTTGTTCTTATTCTTATCCTTATACTTATCCTTATCTATAGGATTATCCTTATCCTTATCGTTATTAACATCCCTATCCCCATCCTTATCCAAATTCTTATCCTTACCATTATCTCTATTATTATCCTTATCCTTGTCCCTATCCTTATCCTTATACCTATCGCTATCCTTATCCTTCTCCATATCCTTATCCTTATTCCAATCCTTATCCTTATCCTTTTCCTTATTCTTATTCTTATTCTTATCCTTATCCTTCTCCATATCCTTATCCTTATTCCAATCCTTATCCGTATCCTTATCCTTATCCTTATCCTTATCCTTTTCCTTATTCTTATTCTT